ATGACTCATTATTACTTACCTATAAACTGAATGTTTATATTTTGAGAAGCAATGCAGATTTCAGGTCAGCGGATTTTTGGTATTTGACTGTATTTTAAAATTGAAGCTAATTTTAATATTCACCAAAAATAAGTATAGACAATAAAAAAAGAAAACACCTTGGCAGGAAAAAAAAGTAAGTTTAGCATTACTTTCTTCTGCAAGGAAATTACTTCTTACTAGTTACAAAAACGCACTTTAAATTAACTTTAATGTTTTTATTTATTTCTAAAAATTAGAATCAAAAGAAAATAAAGAATGGAAATAGCTCTTGTTCTCCCATCCAAAGGTTTCCTTGTCTTTCTTTTCTTCATCAGATAATTCTTGGAAGAATCCAAGCAAAATCAGCTGGTTGCACATATTTTTTTGTCATGAAAACCAATATAAAATTTACAGAGCCAAATGTATTCAGATTAAAATAATACATGGCAATTAATAACACAAAATAAAAAAATATTTGAAGGGAAAAAAATTTTCCGAATTTTATGTGCATTAAAAACTGAATTTGTCGTAAATTTTGCGCATACGTACGTGTTGGAAGGGTAAAAGTTTAAATGCTTTATAATGTTTGCTAGTTTATATCGATTTCCTTCTCTTTAAGCATCTTTTCTAACAATTAGAGATTTGTCTCAATATGCAAATCAGTGCTCACGCTAGTTTCTGTGTGCTTTATCTCCTAACTGGTCAGCCTCTCCACAATGTACCTATGAGAGTTTACTTGACCTGGTAAAAGTTAAATAGTTCCAAACACCTGACAGACATGAAGCAAATTATCGCTATGTCTGAAAGTATAAACATTGGGTAAGTTACATATAATATTTTTGAGGAGTAATTTTCTTTATGCATTCAGTTACTTTCTTCAACACGGTTCCTTTCATTTTAGAATTTTTGGATCTAATTATTTCTGTATTTCTAAAAAACACTAAATGCATTTAGAATGTATGAAAAAGTGGCTAATTCTATTTCTTTAGTAATATGAACATTCAGAAGAAAATAAAATATATAGGTAAAGCACGGTTACAAAGCTGGTGTGGCAGAATTTTTGAATTTAGTGACACACCGAACAGCAAAATCTAGAAATAGCAAAAAACGTTTAGAATTTAGGATCCACAGAGATTGCATCAAGTGGGAAAAATGCCTAGTGCCAGATCTGTGATGCTGCTTAAGGCATATTAGATGAATCTTTTAAATTGTAAGTTTTCAATTTCCTTATTAATAAAAATCCCTTTCTATAATGCCTGCCCAGTGATAAGATTAGAAGGCATTTTTGATGCTTGTGTCTAGTGAAAGGTAGAGAAAATAAAGGGAAAATAAACATGTTAAGAAAAATATTCTAGTATCAGGAGTAAAACATTTAAATATTACGTTTTCATTGTTCTTCCAGACGTTCTTCAAAAGGTAAGAAATTCATCGCAAACTTTCTGTAAAATACATCCATTACGTGTCGATATCATGGAGACATTTTTCCTTTTGTCACATATTTCTCGAATCTTCTAGAATCGTAGGTCTATAAATCTTGACTTCATACCCTTCTAAATTTTCCAAGCTGCAATGTCTAAAATACTAAAGAAAAATTATCCCTACCAATTCTGTAACAGCAAAAAGTCAGAAATATTTTGAAAAAAAAATCTGATGTGCACACCACATGACTTCCTTGTATTGGAATATTAAATTATACGCATTTTTTCTTGCAATTCATTTAAACTTATTGGATTGAATTAAATCTACTTCGCCGACAGCGCATAAACCACAATAGAATAAATGCATTCTTTAAAATTCACTCTAGTATTTGTTTACCATAGCGACACTCTGGCGCTAGATTCACTTAACAGTATTAATAATTATATAACAGTTAACTTATATAATAATTATATAACAGAAACTAAGTTAACTGTTATATAATCCAATAATTATATAACTAACAGTTAACTTATATATTTCGTTCATATTATATAACTCATAATGCACAAAATTTATATCATTCAAAGAAAAGAATTATCTAATCGTTGCCACATGTTCTATTCAAATACTATAATAAAGCTAGAATGATGTATAAAAGAAATTAAGCAAACAAAACAAAAAAAAGAAACAGTTTTTCACAGACGATTCAGTATTTCTCATTTAATTAATTCAGTTCTCACTTCGCGAGAAGGCAAAAATACATAAGAACTCAAAATATCTATATTAAAAATTACGAAGTAAATCTCAAACACTTATTTCCTCGAAAAAATTCCAGAAAGAATTAAGCATGATTTAATTGGCAATAATAAATGAATGTGTTATCTTTGTTGTTGCGAAGCTAGGTTTCTCTAGATTGGAAACAAATCCACTAGTCTCCTGTTTCAAATGTAAACATCAATGGCCGCCATTAAAAAAGGCTTAGCGGCTATTAAACAACTTTAAAATTGCTGATAATTCTAAAAATATTGCACACAGATTTACTAAAGGCATAAAATCCTTAACCGGAAGATAAAAACAACATAATTCAATCATTTTTAAAGCAAAAAATTTACAATTTATCAACATATAAGAGTAAAGAAACTGAGATTACTGAGCCGGGTAACACAGTGAATATATATATATAAATATATTTATATACGTTTGTTGCGGCCGATTGCAACCAAAATACGAGGTGCACATCTACATGTTATAGCAGTCCTATATACAAAATTTCAACAGTCTGAGGCTACTCGTTTTTGAGTTATGCGAGATAGGTACGTACGTACATACGTTCGTACAGACGCCACAAAAAATTCTCTTCAGAATTAATTTTAATGCAGTTTTAGAGTTTTTTTTTTTTTTTTTTGAAGGAAAAGAGTATTTTATTCGGTCCTTACATACAGATATCACGCAAAAACATCGTTAAATTGCATTCGATAATGGTCAAAATGGATATTTTCGTTGAAATATGCTGCCTGACTTTTCGTGATTACAATACTTCCTTTTTACTTCGTACAAGGAAGTAAAAAGAACGAGGGAAAAAGTGTAAAATTAATTTTACAGAGAAAAGTGATGCATATTCTGAGAATTTTGAATATTCCAAGACAATTGCACGAGAAAAACGCTTACTATGAAAAAATTAAAAAGAAGACATTTTTAATTAATTGCATAGCTAATTTTGCTCTTGCTAAGAGCTGTTTCGTAAATTATGCTTTATAGCAATATGCTTTATTTATCAGATTCATAATATTGTATAAGTTGCCAAAATGAAACTTTATAATATGACAGCGAAAAATAGAATGTTTTATTTTAATGTTATTTTTTTATATATAATTTCAATATATTACCATTATTTTAATGAAATTTATCAATGGTGTGATGTTTTAAAAAAAATTGTCGAAAAATTGTCAGATCTCGGAATTACAAATTTTCTATAGAAACTGATCCTAAATTTTCCCAAATGTTGACAAGTTACCAAATTTAGAGATGTTTAATAAAAGAATTCACATCCCCAAAAGCTAAAAGTTGTTTAAGAGTTCTTTATTAGAAAAAAAGGAATTTCGAAATGCTTATGTTTCACTTCTTGCTTAGAAACTCGAGTATCCCATCATTTTTATTAGAAGTAGAAACAAATTATAACCCATGAACCCATTCAAAAGATAACCAAGTATGTCAGTGAATCGCCAAAAATATTCCTCCAAAATGCTAATTCACACTCAAAATGGCACTCATAAAAACAAACAGAGATTTCAGATGATTAAAATTAGGGACCTTCTGCTGATTTTGGCCAAAATTAAGGACCAAAAATCAATTCCAAAAAATTTAAGAATTTAAGACATAAAAAAAAACAGAGATTTCAGAAGATTAAAATTAAGGACCTCCTGCTGATTTTGGCCAAAATTAAGGACCAAAAATCAATTCCAAAAAATTTAAGAACTTTTAAGGACTCTTTCAGGACCATACAAACCCTGTTTTAAGCATCAGTTTAATGACCCAAATGTGATGTCATCACACAATTATGAAAATTAAATAGTGTTTTCCTCTTTGTAAAACAAAGCTCATTTTCTTTTAAGCATTAACACATTTGTTATCTTCATGTGCAATTTGGTGTTACTCAAACCTTTACATTTCCATTTTAGTTGATTTTACAGTCCTTTGGAAGCCAGTGTATAATTTTTTACATTTGAGAAAATTCAATAAATGCATATAAAATGTGTATTAAAATCAGATTGGATTACTTTTATGATTATATATAATCATTGATTTTTGATACATCATTACTTTGCTCTAAAATTAAATACAATTTTAAAAGATTAAAACTGGTCAACACAAAAGAACAGGAATTTTGGAAAGAAGGACTTAAGGAAGTATTAGGATTTTCTAAATACACATTCCCTTCCAAATAGACTTGAAAAACTAGTTAAACGAGGATATTTGCCAGCAATTTTAAAGAAATTAATCAGTTTCATTTTTGTGAAGGTATTTCTTAAAGATATTACTCACATCTAATTTCATGAATAAAGAAAAATATGACTGATGTACACTGATCTTATTAAAAAAATTGGGCTGGGTTATGATTTAAAATCAATTAACAAAAATTAGTTCTATGACAGAAAGTTACACATTCACTGCATATATTAATATCATTTTTGCTACTTCACAGGAACCACCAGAGTAACCGAGATAAGAAGGATAGCATAGCCATTATTACATATAAAACAACAATATTACAACAAAAACATTATTCTTGAATATATAATTGAAAAACATATGTTTATTTTGTTGCCATATATATATATATATATATATATATATATTATTTATTTATTTAAAAAAATAGAGCAAAAAATTATTTCTTTTAAAAACAGTTCGATTCTTATTACAGTAAATTAACCCAATGTTAAATTAAACAGCAGCATCAAGCAGATAAATATTCATATAAATTCTTTTAAAAAGAGAAATAAATCTGAGAACACCCCCCCCCCAACAAAACAAAAAAAAAAAAAAAAAAAAAAAATTACATTTCCACAAGCAGATGTTGCAGATCTATTAATTCTTTCAGACTCCTCTTTTTCTAATTCTTCAGCTAGCCCACATGTACAATTCTTGCAAGCTTTCCTTTTCTTCGTGGTGGCACAGACTGAAAGTTAAATTCAAATCTTTAGATGCATGAAAAAATGTACTTTACAGAGAAATGGTACACACACACACACACACACACACAAAAAAAAAAAAAAAAAAAAAAAAAAAAAAAAAAAAAAAAAAAGAGCAGTTAGTTCAGCGCAAACAAACTTTGAACTTTAATTTCAGTGCATTAGCATTCAGGATGTTAACTATTTCGATTTAATATATATAGCTCAACAAACTCGGTACAACAGAATTTTAATATTACTCTGATTTTAGGATCTAAAAATGCTTTCTTGAATGAACATTTCCAACAGCATTCTCAAATGAGCATTAAATTATATATATATTTTTTCTTCCTCTATTATCTATAAGGGGTGATCAAATAAAAAGTTACAAAACGACACGGTGGGTACAAATGTAGACTTTATTCAAAATATACACCATAGGCCTGAGCACAACAATCCCACTGATGAACAAGCCGCAGGATTCCTTGTTCCCAGAATTCCTGTGGCCACTACGAGACCCAGTCCTTCACAGCGTCCTTGAGTACGTTGTCCGAGTTGAAGCGCTTCTCTTTCAGGTGTTTCTTCAGTGGACCAAACACATGGAAATCGCAATGCGACATGTCCAACTGTAGGGCGAATGGTCCAATGTCTCCCACTTGAACTTGGCCAGTTCCATGTGTGTGACTCTGGAGATGTGTGGACGTGCATTATCATGTAGCAGAACCACACTCTCTGTGAGCAGCCCCAGTCTTTTGTTCTTGATGCATAGGCGTTGGAGTGTCTCACAGTACACATCGGAGTTAATGGTTTTTCTGTGCTCGAGGAATTCCACAAGTAGTGCACCTTGAACGTCGAAAAAGATGGTGAGCAACACCTTGCCTGCTGACGGCACTGCTTTGAACTTTTCAGGGGAGGTGACGATGCATGCTGTTCTGCTTTGTCTCTGGCTCGTAGTGATGGTATCAGGTCTCATCACCTGTGACGATCCACTCCATGAAAGCGGGGTCTTCCTGATACCGAAACAGATGTCGCAATGCTAGGCCCCATATGCAGTTCCTTTTGCTGGTCAGTGAGCTGCTTCGGAACCCAAGTGGCACACACCTTCCGATATTACAACCTGCCGTGAACAATTGTCCACACAGTTCCATAGCTGACACCACCTTCACCGCCAACATTTGCAATATGACACGCCGATCACTTCTCACAAAGTTGTCCACCTTGTCGATGAGATCGCTTGTGGTGACAGTGTTTGCCTGGCCTGGTCTCGGGTCATCACCTACACTCTCATGGCCTGCACAAAAACGGGCACTCTCATTTTCTGACAGAATTGTCAGAGACACTCCCCGTAAACTGTCACCATCAGGCAATGAATACCTGCTGGTTTCTCACCTTCTGCCGTCAGAAATCGGATAACACCTCGCTGCTCCTCAGTCGTCTAAATTTGCAAAGCGAACGCCATTCTGTCCTCATACGGACTGCCGCATCATTTGGACGGTCCTATTGATAAGAGCCTCTGCTCTCTCCTGCGCATGCGGGCGCTCGCACATGCTCCGATCCCAGTCAGAGACTCCAATCGCATCCCAAGATGTCTCGCTACGTTCTCCCATGGTGGAATATGCAAATATTTAACTCTTCCGTTTTTACGTCAATATTACAACAAAAACATTATTCTTGAATAACAATATTATGTATTGTTATTCAAGAATAATGTTTTTGTTTATACTATTGTACCTTTTCATTTGATCACCCCTTGTATGTTTGCACTAAAAACAGAAAGTGAAATACCACCTTTGAAGATGTAGCAAAGACACCACTGAAGATACAGCAAGGAAATTTTTCAAAAAGAGGAAAAAGTTTTATTACGCCTGCACAAGATATTGCTACCTCACTTAATTCACGGATGCATCTGGAAGATATTTGCTAGCTGGCTGCACCCGCTTTATTCACGTATACATCTACAAGATAACTGCATATATATATATATAATGTTGTATGATCTTAAATTCATTTAGTGCGAAAACAAGCTACTACTACTTGCGCAATTGCTGCAAAGTAAGTTAATAATAATTTATTTACTAAATAATATTGATTAATTGATGATATTATCTCCTAAGTTTAATTATAGTAGGATTATCTTAAAAGAGTGAATCCATACTAGTAAGTTATATTTTGAAAGATGTTTTGAAGTAACTTGAAAGTAAAATGTTTTAATGGGGACTGGAATTAAATCATGAATAACAAAATTTTAATTGTAAAAGGAATGCCTTTAATTTAATAATTAATTAATTTTCTTGCCTTTAATTTAAAGGCAAGAATTAAATTAAATGCATGTAATCATTGTCATTGATTGGAAATTAGTTGACTTTTCAAGGGGAACAAACCAACTCCCGTTCAATGAACAATAATTAATACATAAATACAAAGGTGTTTCGTCTTTACTCGAGCAATAAGGCTAAGCCAAACCGGCAATTCAAGTCAGGCCAAATATTTTCATGAATAGAAGGGATTATGAACCAATGCTGATATTCAAAGAACTTATTCCTATTAAGCATTTTAGCCAATTCAATTTTGAGTGAAAAGCAATTTCTGCAGTAAATTTTGAAAATGCTCGAGTAACCGTCCCCCGACACCCTTGTGTTTATGTATTTGAGTTCAATATTATTTGCAAAAATTAAACATTGGAAATTGTCTGCATTTGAAAAGAAAAAAAAATTATAGGTTCAATGTACACCTGAAAAAAATGTATAAACACATTTCAATATGAATGAAATCCTTTCTAATATACATGTGAAAAAAATTTATACATGAATGAAATCAGTTACTCAATAGCGTTTCAATAGTTACTCAATAGAGTTTCTTCTTCAAATTCAGCTATGGCCACACACTCGAGGTCAATCTGCCTAAGGGCAGGGATGCCTTTGTGAAGGAATTTTTAAGGGAAACTGGCTTGTATACACGTTACAGATGTGGAAAATTACGAAAACACCCATGCAGCCAGCCCGTTCACCGGGATTCTAAAGTTGAACCGAACTATCAGTGCTCAGCAACTTTACCGCTCACCAATGCAGCCAGCCCGTTTGCCGGGATTCGAAAGTTGGACCAAACTACCAGTGTTCTGGGATTTTATCCGGGCTGCGCCTGCCTTTATTCATGTATGCATCCACAAGATACTGCATATACATTACACATGCGGAAAAATCACAAAAAGACCCATGCAGCCAGCCCGTTTACAAGGATTTGAAAGTTGGATTGAACTACCAGTGTTCAGTGACTTTACTGCTCAGCTACTAATCAGCCGTTGTACGAAGTGTAATCGTGAAAATGTTCAGGTTTATTATTCAAACAGTAGATTGGTAATTAAAATCCATTTATTTAAATTCCTTTTGGTAAACTTCAACAAAATCACGCACAAAATTGCATCAATATGTATATTAATGCAATTACTATTTCATAATTATTTATAATAAGAAAACTTTCCATATACCATCTCCAAGGAAGTTCACTGATTTTTACTGCTCAGCCGCTAATGGTCCCTTGCACGAAGTCTAATCTCGAAAATTTTTGGGTTTATTATTTCAACAGTAGATTCGTTATTAAAATTCCTTTCGGTAAACTTCAACAGAATCACACACAAAATTGCATCAATATATTAATGCAATTATATATATATGTATGTGTGTGTGTGTGAGTGTGCAAAAATACATGCAATGAGTGAAAAATATATTTGTATCTGAAAAGAAAAAAATCATAGGTTTAATGTACACCTGAAAAAAATATATAAACGCATTTCAATATGAATGAAATTATATCCATATACACCTGAAAAAAAAAAAAACTGTATATGAATGAAATCAGTTACTAAATTATATAACCAAAAAATTTGCAACAATATATATATTAATGCAATTATATATACAGTCAAAAGTCTTTAATCTGGACTTGTCGGGACTTCGGCGGTTCCGGATTATAGATCATCAATTAAAATCTGGTAGGAAGGCATGCAGGAATTATACAATTAAAAATATGAAACCTTAATTTACAAAATAAAGAGCAATTATGATCTACAGGGTATCAAAATTTACAAAAAATGAAAAAACAAATAAAGAGCAATTATGATCTACAGGGTATCAAAATTTACAAAAAAAAAAAAAAAAAAAAAAAAAAAACTTAATATTTATTTGTTTACTTTATTAAACATTTCTTTCAACGCGTGCATGTGTAAAGCATACATTACGATTAGTCGAAATTAGAAAATTTGCAACCAGAAAACTATTTGATGAGTATTCGTGATATTTATAATGACGAGGAATTTGATTTAAATCATATCAAAGACGGAGTACATCGAGATGAAATACTACATTTAGTAAGGAATTATAAGCCGAATAAAATAAAAACGTCTGCCTTGAAGATAAGAATAGTGCTGACAGATCAACTTCCAGTTCATTACGCGCTGCCACGTTCCCCCCCCCCTGCGCGAAATTGATAAACAGATATCAGAATGGTTAGAGAAACAAATGATATGCCCTTATCCATTTTTTGCAGCAATTCCACTTTTCATTTGGACATCGAAACATGCTTTCCCTTTGTAGATTCTTTTTGCAGCTCCAGAATTGGAAATTCTTTTGACACAATCCAAAGTTCAAGCTTACTTTTATAAAATTGCTCTAACAGTCTGCAAAAAATAATAAGCTGGATCCAATTCGAAGATTAAGGAACAACGCAATCTGCAACATTAACTGAAAGATAATTAGATAATTTTAGCTTAGCTTATACTGTTTTGGTCCTTAAAAGTCCTTAATTTTGGCCAAAATCAGCAGAAGGTCCTTAATTTTAATCATCTGAAATCTTTGTCTGTTTTTATGACTGCCATTTTGAGTGTGAATTAGCATTTTGGAGGAATATTTTTGGCAATTCACTGACATATATGATTATCTTTTGAATGGGTTCATGGGTTATAATTTGTTTCTATTTCTAATAAAAATGATGGGATACTCGAGTTTCTAAGCAA